GGTAAAGGCTTAGGGGGAGTTTGGCTCAGAGCTTGGGGGCCGGGGTGACGCGGGAAACGCTCCGAGTGCTGCACCATCTTATAGGAGACACAAGAACGAATGAGGACGCAACAAGCACACGAGCTACATCGAGAAAACTTGAGATACATGCATAAATCCGATTCAGCCTGAATAGAACCCTCAACAACCTTGCTGTTTCCGGCAAGGCCCACTATACACGCTTCAGGTTACCTGTAAACGTATCTTCGCCCCGAGGAGGGCCTAGTCGGGTCGAAACATATTTGCCTGTCTGGGAAAAGGACAGTACCCATAGTCTCCATTGTAGTTCCTTTTTTGGTTAACCAATTTTATGGTTAGGGTCCGATAATATAAATTGGGTTAACCAGAAAAAGGAACTACATTGGACACTATAGGTATTCCCGAACGTGTCAAGGATCCAACTCGTAGCGGTTTAGGGTTTACTTTAGGGTTCAGGAATCCCCTCAGAACTCAAACCTGCAAACACCCCCCAGGCCCACGAACACCTAAAACCGTAAACCGAAAAACCCGAAACTCCAAATCCTGCACTAAGAACACCACGAATCTGAAAGCCTAAGACCCATAAACCTCAACATCAACTCTAAACCCAATCCCTTAGCATCAAAATAGTCCAAAATCCTTATATAATAGGGTCTTTGGGCCCAAAAGCCTCAAAATATGAGTTCTTTGAGGGTAAGGGTATAAGCCCTCAGCGCTACAGAACTCGAGGCGCCTGATCCTGCCACGTAGGTCGCCGCCACGGCGAAGGGATCCCGGGGCCAAACCTGTCGCAGGGTTTAGTGTTGAGGGATTAGGGTTTGGAGATGAGGGTTTAGGGTTCAGGGGCTTAAGGCTTAGGGTTAAGGATTGGGGTTTAGGGTTTAAGGGTGTAGGGCCTACCGTATACCTAACCCAAGGTAGGGGAAATCATGGCCCACAACACAGAGCCATGATTCTACAGGCGTTTGGGGGTGCAGGTAAGGTTCACCTATCGCTAGCTTTTTGCTTGGCAAACCTGACCATAACATTAACACCCTAAACCCTAAACCCTAACCCCTAAACCCTAAAACCCTAAACCCTAAACCCTAAACCCATACAGGAACTACAGCGAAGACTTCGGGTTGTTTGGGGCTGAGGACTGAAAGTACAGGGTCGAGGAATTGAATTAGGGTTTAGGGTTTAGGGTTTAGGGTTTAGGGTTTAGGGTTTAGGGTTTGGGGTAATTGGGGTCTATGGGTTGTGCCGCAAACCCCAAAACCCTGAAACCTAACATCCTGAACCATAAACCGTAAAACCCGAAATCCTACAACCCTAAACACTAAACCCTAAAACCCTGAACCCTCAACCCTAAATCCCCAAACCCTAAAACCCCAAACCCTGGACC